TGGCTCGGACATCAATGGCACCAGATGTCTCGACAACCTGTACCGGTTCAACAGCAATGACCTGCTTCGAATAAGCCAACATGCGCATGAAATGGGAGGAAGGTTGACTCATTATACTAACATCATCGCTCTCTTCGATTTCTTTCACAGTCTCTTGGTCGAACTCGCCAGAGTAGCCTTTGAAGTTGTCGTTCCAGACTTTGTCTACGCCGATCTCCTCACGCCTGGTCAGGCTTCGCTCGTGAACGCTCCTGACCCATGAGATATGTGACGAAACATCGGAGGCGTTGGCATTGTTCTTGAGGACAACGATGAATTTCCCTGAAATGTCGGGCCCATCCTCTCGAACAGTTGGGGCAGCGAGGGCAACCGAAGCGGCAACGAAGAAAAGATGAATGGCAACCATGATGGTGATCTCAATTAGCGGTCTTGTTGATGTTTACTAATAGTGGATTGGCTTGATGAGGAGTTGAATTTTCAGGTGAATGAGGAGGGACCTCCTTTATACTCTTTCATGTTGTTCATATCCATATATCTTCATTTGAAGGACAGCCACAGATGACTGTGTTCCTCCTTGGTAAATTAGTCAAGAGTCAGGCTTTGTGGCGATAATACGTCCGTACGACTGGAACTCTCTTGAAAAGGCATTTATTGGAATATCATACATTTGGATCTTGTATATTGAGCACAAATTGAGTCTAGCTAGTGATTCAAGTCGACGGCATTGCCGACACCCTGTACCTCGGACTCTGGGCATATTCTCGAACCAATGTCAAAACTTTCATCTGATCTTGAGAGGCTGATGTAACCGGGAGAACGTTAAACAACAACTTTCGTAGCCCTGTGGCGTTCATGAGAGATCAGTAACGGTTACGGATGATGAGATGTGTCTTAAATATTCAATATTCTATTGCCTTCTGTAGGTTGTTCTTCGCCTCCGGCGGCCTCACATGTGACCGCTCTTCTACACTGTGTTCATGATTCTAAGGCCCTTATCCAGCTCGTGCCTCACACCATCTGTTGCAGCATAGTCTTTGAGCACAATACCTCTCCACCACCCATACCATTCGGCTATCTCTCCAAGGTCTGCTTCTTCTAGCGCCATCCACTCCTGAAGCTTCGCGTTCCACATAGGGAACATATCCTGAACCAGAACCTCGGTGATCATTGCAGTTCCTAGCAACGCACGCCACTTGAGGATACCTGTGAGTATAGGTAGATATGGTTCCTGATCAGCTGGATCAACGCGGAAGTTCCGTCTCATATATTTGCCCATCGATGGTAATATGTGGGACATGATGAGAGGTCGCCACTGCTCCTCCAGAATGTTCTCCCACTGAGGAAGACCAGGAACGACTCCCCGTTCAAACTCCCAGACATCAATGAGCTGCCTGAACTTTCGCCTTACATCTGCCACAAGCCCAGTTCCTCTTGGGTCGAGATGGTAGGGCGGCAGATATTGTAGCCACGGAAAGAGCCAAGTATGTGGCAGCTGATGACTTTGCCGCCTCTTTTTGGGGTTCCAGTCTGAAACAGCATCTTCTAGCTTGCGTACGATGCTGTTCATGAGCTGTGCTCGCACAAAGGGAGGGAGAAGTTCGTCCCAATTTTCTAGTATTCGAAGCATTTGTGTGGGGTCTTGAGGATCCCATGTTCGAACTGCGGTCAGGACCTGGGGTAACCAGATCTTGTACATCAAACTCTCGTAAGGGGTAGTGGCTTTGTGATGTGTTCGGTAAACGCCGTTTTGATGGTCGGCGGACGAGTCCCATTTGCCAACTGCTTTCGCATTGCCGGCCGACCTGAGTAGCAGACTCGAGAGATCTTTCATCTCCGAAGCATATTTCTCAGGCTCAGCCAGGGGATCCCAGTCTGCCTCCTGCAGATATGGCTGGAGGGCGGCAACGGCGATATCAGCAACCTCTGCATTGGCGGAGCCAAGCTGCGCAGCCTTTCTCAGGCAGCTGATGGTTTGGTCCCATTCAGTGGCTGAAACAAGCTCCTGGGACACCAAGGTAGAAAATACTTGCAATTTTTCCAGGTCGAACCGAACATCCTCCAGCTCTTGATCCCTCTCCTTGAGTTCCAGCTCAACCCAAGACTTCCTTTCTTCAAGACTTCTCCATTCCTCTGAGAAAGCTAATAGGTCCGCCTGAGCTCGCTTAACGAGCTTCCTTGCTTCAACAATCTCGCTGGACTCAGACACTCCGGATGTCGGTGTCATAATCCCGCTCGTGGATGTAAGCATCTTGCCGCCAGGCCCAGTCATATCTAGAATAGGGGTAAAGGCTTCTGGTATGTGTAGGCCAGGAGCAGATGTCTTTAATTCTTCCGCGGTTAGGTATTTTGTCTTTTGGCGTCGCGGCGTGCTTCCGGCGCTATCAAAGGCGCCTGCGATCGTCTTCTTCATCTTTCTTGCCCTTTTCTTCTTCTTTTCCTCCTCATCAGAGTCGATGATGGTTTCCCCACGCATTTTCGCCTGCCTCTTTTCCTCTTCCCGTTCCTGAGCTGTTTTCTCCTTTACTGCGCCAAGACCGACACCTTGAGGACGCAGATTCGCCTCAACAATGACATTTCTTCCCTGACCCTCCTTGCCCAAACCTTGACCTTCCACGTATCCCATCTTGGCCATCATTCGTGCACCAAAGGACTTGGCATTGATTTTGCCCTTAGCACTAAAAGCACTGGGCTGTGGCTTGTTGCGAGGTGGCGATGCATGTTTGATAGCGGCCTCATTTAGGACAGGTTCGTTCGCCGAAGAAGGCACAAAGCCTCTTCCCAGGATATTTCTCCCATCGAATTTGGTCTTGAGCGAGCTGTTCCTAGGCTTGCTGGTCGCCTGGCTGCCTTCATTAGGCTGGGCCTCAACTTCTTCGCTCGCTTTGCGAAACCCGAATCCCAAGCCGGTGCCGAGAAGATCGTCCTCCTCCTCATCCTCGTCGTCGCTTTGTGCAGGACCGTTGCCCAGAACTGGCCTATTATCTTCGTCCTCCTCGTTCTCATCCTCGCTATCCTTCCTTGTAGCAGTCGAGACAAAGCTCATGCCTTTGTTGCGCAGATTCTTCCTCTTCCATTGCCTTCCATTGCCTTCATCCTCGCTGTCCGAGCCGAAGATGCCCAGAGCTGCCTTCTCTCTGTGATTGCCGCCCAGCCGCCGACGTTTGCGGGGATTAAAGTCGCCAAAGTCATCGCCATCCTCCCCGGGAATGTGTCGCTCGTCTTCCGAGTCCGAATCTGAGGAGGAGTAGTCGGCGGCAGAGGCCTTGGTGAAGCCTGGGTGGCTGAATGTAGCTCCGTCCATAGCTGCGTTTACCGCGTGTAGAATCGCATTTCTTGTGTCGCAAGCTTCGTTACGCGGTCGCCAAGCAAAGAAGCAGAAAAACAAAGCCTCCTTAATTCCGAGAGTAGGAATCAAAGGCGATAAAGAACACCTGAGAATGACCTAGGCAACGATCACACCAATGCGCCAGGTCGTCCAGGGACTGTTGATGCGATTCTCTAGAAATTCTTATCGCCACGTGATGCTATCGCTTCTGGGTATTTTAGGCACGGGAATAATAATGGAGCACGATGATCAGGCAGGCGTCTCGGATAAGGCTGTTGGCGTATACCGTAGGCGCGAAGGACCGCAGGTGGCTCAGGTGGCCAATAGAAGTACCGATTTTCCCTTGGCTTCTCTGTCAAGTTCAATGGTTTCCATTTACTTCCATTTAGAGGATCAGTCACTCTTAATTGTAGAAAGTAGGAGCTCTGGTTTTCTTGTGGAGACGATGAATCTACCCTGGTGGAACAACATTGGGAATATTTCAGCTGAACAAATTGAATGGTAGCATCTGGAGCTTTGAAAATGAAACTCTGCGCAAACGCATGAGATATAGCAAATTGTTTCTTGGCTTTATATTGCTTGATGGAGATTTAGTAACGGTTCATTTTGTAATGCTCTCTGAGACCTAAACCATGTGCTTTTGATGGTCATTCATAGCTCCTAATGAGAGCGTGACTACTAGATGAATGGGTCACTGTCTTGCGCTTCTAAAAAGCAGATTGAGAAATATTCTAGGCTCACTACTCCAGCGCATAATTACGCCGTCGGCTGACTTGTTGTTGAGGATGCGTTGGACAGCATCTATAGAAGTGACCGGACGCATGACATCATTTGCGTTTCTGCGGCAATGGGTGGCTCAAATGCATCTGGCCTCAAAGCAGCCTCGTGCAGCTGCCGAATCGCAGCAACTGGGCTGACGTGCATAATATCATAATTCATGCGCCGGGACAGTACAGCAAATCATGGTTGGTGTCGTCTGTTGTCGCAGGGAGTTGCCCTAGTACCCAATGCCAAAGAAGCATAAAGCATCGAATATGCCGCTTGTGCTTCCAGACGGCGGCTCTGGACCGGATCTATGGCCGATTATTTGGAGGGCAGGGACCTGGGCGCACGTACCTGGTGGGGTGTTAGGCACTGTTTGTAGCGCTCCCGTCTCCAAAGAGTGTTTTTCTGGTGGACAAATCAGGTGACGCGCCCTTGCCCCTGTCGACGGGGTTTGTTGACTTTTAGCATCATCCTGGGCTGCCCCCTCCCTCTGCATAGGCGGTGGGTTATATTATCGGCGACGCACCGCATCTGGGGTCCTTTTGGCGTTAGAGATCAACAGCTTCTTCATGCCACCTAATGTCCTTGGTGTTACGCGCGCAATAGAAGGTGAGTGTCGCAAGGCCTTTCTCCCTTCTCTCTGTGTGCGACAGGGCTGGCTTAGTCCATTGCGCTTTGAAGCACTTTGAGCTAGTGCCGCCCTTCCTGCCCAAAGCATTGGCTAACTCAAAGACAGAATCCGACTGCTTCCTTCCACTCAACATCTAACAATCTACCTTTATGCGGAGGTGCAGACCGGCCATCCTGATACCCGAGTTCTTGTCCTGCCTGCCTGTACTTATTGAGCTGTCGACCACCCTTGTTGCTATATCTTGGTATATAATTTTCCTCATTCCATACGAATTTCAATATGGGCACCCAAAAACATTTCCTACATGTTCGCCAGCTAATCAACAAAGTAGTTCATCGTATCGTCCACCCTCGACGACGTAAAAGACCGCCAGACCTCCCTTACTCTTCACCAGAGCGCTACTTTTTCCCACAGTCCGGAAAGAACTTCGGCACCCGCGACCAAAATATGGGTGACCAGGAGGTGGACCTTAGCACTATTCCGTTGCTAGACCGCTTCGAATCCAAGGTGATTTCGCATTCTAACTGGCGGTAGCGGGCAGTTTACTCACATGGATCGTCTTGTAGAATTGGAAATATCGAAAGTCAGGATACGAAGACGCCGCGAAACAGTTCTCAGTATCGGCCGACGAATCCGACCCATGTTTTCGCCCATTCTTGAGCAACCCTGGGCTTTGGAAAGCCGCCGTCCTCGACTCCAATGTCGCCGCACAGCAAGAAGGTGTAACCGCCTTGTGCTCATTCCTTAAATATGGTGGGAGTGAATGCGCGCTGCGAACAAGGGGGCAGGCCGTCACACCGATAGTCGAAAAATGCTTGTCTTCCTCGAAAGCCGCCACGAAACAAAATGCGATCGAGGCCTTGCTACTATTTATCGAGCTGGATGTCGCCGACCCAGTCATCGAGGAGATGCTTCCCGGCCTGAACAACAAAGTTCCGAAAAATGTGGCTGCGACATTGAATGCTCTCACACAAATATATCACAACTATGGATGCAAAGTAGTGGACCCGAAGCCTGTTCTCAAGTGCCTGCCCAAGGCTTTTGGTGCCGCAGACAAAAATGTACGCGCTGAAGCATCTAATTTAACCATCGAGTTGTATCGCTGGTTAAGGGAGGCCATTAAGCCTGTGTTCTGGTCAAATCTGAAGCCAACCCAGCAAACAGACTTGGAAGCCCAGTTTGAGAAGATTAAGAACGACCCGCCGCCAAAACAAGAAAGATTACTTCGTTCGCAGCAGGCGGCTGTGGATGCCGGCGCTGGAGTGGAGGAGGAGGATGGCGCAGAGGATGGCGAGGATGCTGCTGAGGTGGACGCCTTCGACTTGGCAGAGCCTCAAGACGTCACAAAGAACATCCCCTCCAATTTTCACGAAGGCTTGGCATCCTCGAAATGGAAAGACCGAAAGGAGGCCGTCGAAGGCCTCTACAATGCTCTAAATGTACCTCGTATTAAGGACAGCGATTTCTCAGAGATTAATCGCGGTCTCGCGAAATGCATGAAAGATGCTAACGTGGCGGTGGTGACGCAGGCTGCGCAGTGCATTGAGGCGTTGGCTAAAGGTCTTCGACAGGGCTATGGGAAGTACCGATCAATTGTGATGCAACCCATCATGGACCGACTGAAGGAGAAAAAAGTGACCGTTTCCGATGCGCTTGGTGCCGCCCTCGACGCTGTCTTCACATCAACGAATATGACGGAATGTCTCGAGGATATCACAGCATATTTGAGCAATAAAAACCCACAGGTGAAAGAAGGTACAATGAAGTTTCTCATCCGATGCTTGCGGACAACAAGAGATGTACCTAGCAAACCCGAAATCACTTCCATCTGTGAATCCGGCAAGAAGCTTTTGTCAGAATCAAGCCCGGCTCTCAGAGATGGCGGAGCGGAAATATTGGGAACTGTGATGAAAATCATTGGGGAAAGAGGAATGAATCCCCATATCGACGGACTCGACGACATCCGAAAGACCAAGGTAAAGGAGTTCTTCGAGACTGCGGAGGTGAAGGCCAAAGAGAAGCCAAAGCCAGCTCCTAAGCCAGCTCCTGCGGCTGCCCCAAAGAAAATACTCGGTGGCAAAAAGCCGGTTGCGAAGAAGGCTGCACCGGCGTCTGCACCGGCCGCGGAGGCGGCACCTCAAGCAGCACCCAAACCTGCGAGCAAATTGGGAGGACCAAAATCTGGGCTTGCAGGGCTCAAGGCACCTCAGAAACGGACGCTTGCCGCTCCTGGGTCAGCATCACCTCGACGCCCACCGACAGGCCCCCCTGCTATGCCAGACGAGGATGATGCGCCTCCCCCACAGCCACGAGCTGGCTTGCGAGGTCTGGCAGGACGGTCACTTGCTAAGCCGGCGGCATCGATGCCTCAGATGCCTCCTGACTCACCTCCACCTGCCAGTGGATTCACAGCTGTAGAGCGTGCTGAATTGGAGGAGTTGCGGGCTGCCAATGAGCGGTTGACCCGGCAAGTGGACGACATGAGACAGGAGAGGAATAAGTTTATGACCGAGATTCAAGAGCTTAAGAACCAGAACGCCGGCCTTATCGAAGATCATACGCGTGATGTTCTCAGCATCAAGGCCAAGGAGACGCAGCTTGTGCGAGCTAGAAGTGATGCCGAGGCACACGAGCAGGCCAATGATAGATTAAAGCGTGAGCTTGATCGCTTAAAGAGAGCTCTCGCCCGTGCCGAGGGTCTTGGTTCGGCAAGTCCAGGTATGAGCTTTTCGTATGATCTTGACCTTGATAGTGAGGAGAAACTAACAGGCAATGGCAGGTCTTGGGTCCCCAACTCATGATGATGCTGGAATCTACCGCGACTCGGGTTCTGCCTCCGGTGGTCGGAACAGGATGAGTTTTACCAGCACACTTTCGGAGGAGAAAGAGAACGGAGAGACGGCTTATCCCCGAAGTAAGATCAGCCCTGAATTCAGATACGCAGGGAGCACAACCTCGTCTGGCCGGGGTTCTCCAGCTAGAAGCTTCAGAGCTCCCGCATCATACCGTGATAACGACAGCGACGCTGGTGGCGTGGGCATTGGCATTACTAGGGAACGTCCAACATCCTCGCTTCCAACACCATCAGGAGCTAATGGGGCTGAGAGTTGGAAGCGAGCGGCGGAGGTAACAAGCCAGCTCAAGGCTAGAATCGAGTTAATGAAGGTAAGTTGGTATCTTCCTATATGTCCTTCCCATCGACCACATGCTGATCCTTGTTACAGGCCAAACAAGGCTTCGCTCGACCTTAAGATCTTAATTTGTGGAGACAAAGAGTAATGGGGGAGACCCAAACATTTGTGATAATATGTATTTGAGGACACATGAGGGTTTCACAGGGGTTCGGGGAATTCTCTAGCTGGTGATTGTTGAAGCAGTCCTTTTTTTCTTTGGGATGCACTTCTTTTGGGATCTTAATGTGCATTTGCATGGCGTTGCCGCATACCCCTTTTGTTAACGCGCTTGTGGTTCGCGAACTTCATACATAGACCTTCGTTTTGGTTGATTTGCATTAAGGAGACATGCAGACCAGCAATGAAAATGCATAATATAACAGGGTGGATTTGCTTTTCATACATTGATTAAATCTGATGATATTGCTCAAAGTGAATGCGGTCGCCCACAACGCCTATTGACAAAGGTAAACAAATTGGTCTGACTCTTTCGTCTTTCATTACTGGTAGTTCCGCTCCCCGGGCTCCCTCGTCGCCTTGATTCTCGGTCCTTTAATTCTTCTTGCTACCATCATCACCGTCCTTCCCCTGTTTATCATCCTTCCCTTTACTATCATCCTTCCCCTGTTTATCATCCTTTTCCTTTTGATCATCCTTTTCCTTTTGATCATCCTTTTCCTTTTGGGCATCCTCTCCCTTTTGATCATCCTCGCCCTTTTGATCATCCTCGTCCTTTTTATCATCGTCTTCCTTTTGTGTTTTATCCACCTCAGACTTGGAACTGTCACTGTCTGCCTTTTCCTCCCCCTGAGCCTGCTTCCCCTTGCCGCCGTTCTTATCTTTTATCATCTCCTCTTGCTGGTTCTTCTTCGCTTCTTTCTCTTTCTGCTTCTCCTTCTCCTCCTTCTCCTTCTTGATTCGCTTCTTCTCTTCTGCCTCAACCTTTGCCCAGTCGGTGGTAGTGTCGGCCACTCCGGGGCTTTCTATGCTCTCACTGAGATATCTCCCGCTCAATTTTTGTGAAGTCTCGATACGGGAGCGGCCAACAAGAGAGATGAAAAGGGCAAATCCCACCATGGCAGTAAGAAGGAATCGGTAGTGGCCGTACCACGGGGGAGCCCAGCCCCGGATGGTCGCCCGAGAATCGGCGAAGTAGAGAGCGACGAAAGCACCGAACTGGGTGATGAGGCCGTATTCGAGGGGCATCAGGAGGGTTGGCCAGGCAATGATGGGTGCGACGACGCCCATTCCGTAGCGGAAGCGGGTTCGCTCGGGATGGGGGGTCTTTTCGGCATATTCAAGGCCCTGACGATATCACGCCTCTGGTTAGCGACAAATGGTTTGTATGCTAGAGGGGTGCAGGAAGTTATGGCTTACCCAATGGACGGCTCCTAGGAAGGATATGATGACTGCTCCGTACCCCAGCTGGAGAGGCTCAATGATGCTGAGGAGATATCTCGCAGTATCATGATTTATCAAGATTGCGTTGTAGAATGGGGTGGCTGCGGGGATGTCCTTCGTCAAGTCCCAGCTCAGGAAGACGGACGCGGCAGAGGTCGCAAAGTAAGGCACCGTCCCCATGAGCCCGAGGATATGAGATTCGCGGGGCGTACGGCTGAGCCGCAAAGCGTCTTTGACTACTTTCTTTGGAAACTGTTAGAATGCAATCCTAGCGTTGGAAGTGATTGGGACCGTACAATGTCATGGACGAGGCCGCCGCCATCGACTCCTGCAGTTGGGTGAGCGCCTGGGAGGGTCAGATCATCGAATGTTTTGGTCTCTGCTGCTATCTTCGATGGGTCGGATTTGAGCTTCTCGTCGCCGCGTTTACTTTCGGCCTCCAAGGGCGCGACTGAATGAAAGGAGCGGGGGGTACTGAAGCCGTTGACATGGCTGATTCGTTGATGCAATTGAGGTCTCTGGGCTGCTGGATGGGTTGAGAGTAGGGCTAAATTAGAGGTTCGGTGTTGAAGAGCTATAGTAGCTCTGGAGCGTACTAAGTAGCTTGGGATGCGGAACATGGTGATGAGGCTCCAAGATGGGTATGTGAGATAGGCCACAAGGCAGAGATGGCATCAATAAAACTAGTATTACGTATGGAGGCACCGGTTACACGCTATTGTGTAAGATCGAGATATACTCGTCTTGGGTGCATGGATCGGATTGGATCTTGTTGTGATCAAGTATGTAGTGGATGGAAGTTTCAAAGTGTTTTGGCTATGGGTTGTAGATGTTGATTGTGATCTAGTGTCCAGAAAACAAGATATTCGGCATCAAAGGCACTGCACGGAGACGTAATGGCATCGTTAGCATCATAGTGAGCGAATCGGTCTTCCAACGGTCTCATCGATGCTTCAAGAGCTCCGATCAGATGTGACGTCATGACATCCAGGTTCTGTGGATGGAGCTCAGGGGAGCTAGACGGGAGAGAATAATCCAGGTGGATTGACTTTGGCATGTTGGAGAAGAAGAATACGCTGCTGCTAGGCCTTTTTAAGGATGATAATACCGGAATAGCGATCCTCAATTGCCATGTCATGTATCGCCACTCTTATGCGTGGTTGATGAAGCTGGGAACAGTGTCTTTCCAGCTGGTTGGTTCTCAGCCCAAGTCTAGCAGCCAGCGTCATCGTGAATGGAGCGACTATTTCAGTTTAGCGCGCTTGCTGCTCTTTCTTTTCGAATTCCTTTCAGATGCGGAGCCACATGGATAAAACCTATGCTGCGTGTATGTAGGCCCATTGGGTGGATTAGTGACATTTATTCAAGAATATTTAAGCCCATTTTAACACCAAGAAGTTGGTGAGATCTTGAGCTACATGGAAAGAACCTAGAAAGCAAAATGTCAGTCAGAACCTGACTCTGTAGTGGGCTCATCAGCACCGTTATTTTAACCATCAAACGAGCACACGCAATCGTTTCTATAAAGCGGCACCGCACTGTCTTAACGGAAGGAACTTTAGAGGTCGTACCTGGCCCACAGCATTCTGCATGCGCCTTCCTCGTCGAGCCCAAGGACGATCGACTGCAACAGTTGCTCCCGATTGGGTATGGCCAGGGCAGCAGCAGACTCGCCCACTGTGTCACAGCCCCTCCACCAGGTCCATCGCAAGCACTAACCCTCTATTAGCACCACTACCGGGACAGAGTACCCGCGTCATACTTCGTGCAGTCTCTCGGGGGGGTTTTCAGAGCCTCTGCAAGCGGTGACGTGCCCAGTAGCTGCCCCAAGCTGTGCAAACCTGACCTTTGGGTAATACCAGTAATCCCTCTTTCCTTTCACTATCCGCCTTCTGGCCTCGACCGACGACGACACGATACAGTCACGAGCAATTCCATACCGACGGCCTTCAGCAGCTGCATCTCCCCCTCAGCTGATTGTTGGACTAGTCATTCCTTTGGGCACCCACGACGAGCGCACCCACCACGCAACTGGGCTGCTGTTAAATTCCGGCCGATATATAACACCGGCCTAACAAGTCCGACCACCATCGAGTACGCCGACATACAGAACCGTCTCTTTTTCCTTGCCGAACGACTGCAACTCGGGTGGCGAGGAGCATATACATACGTTGCCATTATCAGAAGCTTATGGCACGATTTCCGATGTCGTCTTCTTAGTTCACACATCCGATATCCATAACCCTCATATCCCAGGCCCGGGTTACGGCACCCCGCTCTAATCATGTTGGAGGGGCTTGTCGCCGGGTTGCTGAACCGCTTCCTGGGCATGTACGTTAAGAACTTCGACCCTACCCAGCTTAAAGTCGGTATTTGGTCTGGCGATGTCAAATTGCACCACCTACAGCTGCGGCGCGAGGCTCTCGACCAGCTCAAACTACCCGTCAACGTTATCGAGGGCCATGTCGGTGACCTTACCCTTGCCATTCCCTGGTCAAACCTGGCTGGTGCGCCCGTCAAGGTCTTCATTGAGGATGTTTTCCTCCTTGCGAGCCCAAAGGAGGAAGCTGAATACGACGAGGAAGAGGAGGACCGTCGTAAGCAGCGCCTCAAGATGGACAAGCTCGACAGCGCGGAGCTGCTCAAGGAGCGGAACCAAGAGGGCATGAGCGCCGAGGAGCAGAAGAAGAACCAAAGCTTCACACAGAGCCTTGTCACCAAGATTGTTGACAATCTTCAAGTGACTGTCAAGAATCTTCACATCCGGTACGAAGACTCGATATCCGCCCCTGGACACCCCTTTGCCCTTGGTGTTACTTTGGAGGAATTCAGCGCCGTGAGCACCGATGGACAATGGAAACCTACTTTCATCCAGAATACAGGAGACGTTACGCATAAGCTGGCGACCCTGGGAGCCTTGGCTGTTTACTGGAACACGGACTCTGAGCTTCTCGGTACGGGGAGACAGACAGAACCATCCCCAGAAGAGGCAATGCCGCATGACGAAATGATTGAAAAATTCAAAACAATGATTAATAACACAGATCAAGCAGGCTTGAACCACCAGTTTATTCTCAAGCCAGTAAGTGGACAAGCAAAGATTGAGCTTGATAAAACTGGCAATGTGAATGTGCCCCACTTCAAAGCAAATCTCCTATTCGAGGAGATTGGCCTCGTGTTGGACGATCACCAATACCGTGACAGTTTGATGATGGTGGATTTATTCCACTATTTCATCCGCCACCAAGAATACAAAAAGCTCCAACCCAAGGGCGTCACACCCTTGGAAGATCCCCGGGCTTGGTTCAAATTTGCGGGCGATGCAGTATTAAGTAAAATTCACGATCGAAATCGACGATGGTCGTGGGAATATTTCAAAGAACGACGCGATGACCGTCGGCGATATATTGAGTTGTTCAAGAAGAAGAAACAACTTCAGCAGCTCACGGCAACTGAAAATGACGACCTCAATAAGCTGGAATGGAAACTCGGGTATGAGGATCTGCGGTTCTGGAGATCTCTTGCACGAAACCAACTAAAAAAAGAGAATGCCGAGGCTTTGAAGAATCAGCCACCCCAGCAAGCACAGCAGGGCTGGGTGTCGTGGCTTTGGGGGAATAAACCCCAGGAAACCATCCAGGAGAATGAGGAGAACACCCAGATGACAGAGGAGCAGC